TCTTGGGGTCTTGTGTATTTTACCTGTGCCTACCAGATACTGGGTGCAGTTTCATGGGGTGGGCAAAGCAGGCAGGTTCTAAATGACCACAAATTGGCCTCTCTTTGGGCTGTTTACAGCACTTACATGTGTCCACATTTCAGTTCGGTCTTTTAAGCTGTGGTCTCGGCCACCTGACCTGGGTCGCTGCACGGAGCTGTCTTTGGTTCACTTACACAGCCGCGTGCTTTATTCCCCCCTCCCCGCACACACGTGCACGTGTGCCCCCTTCAGTGTGCATTTCCCCGAGACAGAGGTGTTCTGTCACCCCAGCACGGGACAGTAATGATCCACACCAGGAATTAATGGTCCACACCAGGAATTGGCGGTGACACAGTACCGTTATCTAACCCCAGGACCCTATGCGGATTTCACTGGTCTGCCCCTATAACGCCCTCTCTGGCTAAGAACATCTCAGACCACGCATCACACTTTCCCCCCAAGTCTCCTCAGTCTCCTTGGCTCTGGACCCGGGCGTAGCCTTTCATCATCTTTAACAGCACTGACATTTTTGAGGAGTCCGGGCCAGTTATTATAGAAAGATCCGCAGGTTCCATAACGGGTAGATTCGGATAATACATTTGCATCAGGGTATTTTTTATTTTATTTTATCTGTTCTATTTCTTTGATCACTTCTTTTAAACCTGTTTCTTTTCTTTCACATTTTCCGGGTGTACTTTTTCTCTGCGCCCCCCTCCCAAGTGGAGGGTCAGGGATGTTCAGTTCCATTTCATGCGTATCCTAGGGCTGTGACCGTCCCTCACGGGCAGGCTTGTTAACTGCTCACCGGTTTTGATGTGTAGTGCTCTTGCGGTCGTCATCAATTATTTTTGCCTTTTTATTATTTTCAAGTTTGGTTGCTTTTTGGTTCAGAGGGTGGCATCTATGCGGTATTGTTTTTCCAATGTATTTGCTGAGGTTTATTTTTTTAAAATTTATCTTTATTGATTTCAGAGAGAGGAAAAGAGAGAGAGAGAAACATCAGTGATGAGAGTCATTGACCGGCTGTCTCCTGCAGGCCGGGGCTGGGGATCGAGCCGGCAACCCGGGCATGTGCCCTGACCAGGAATCCAACCCCCATTGCCTGGACCCTAGGTCGACGCTCAACCGCTGAGCCAACCCCAACCTCCGGGCGCTGATGGTTCTTTTTTAGCTCACCTGCCAGCGTTTACAGCTACCCCAAATATGCCTAAAAAGAATGCATGCTCTCGGATTATGGAGCACACGCTTCTGCCCGACCCAGCAGAGCGGCCTTTAAGTCACCCCCGCCCCCTCGGCGGTCAGTTCTGAACCTCGCTGCCCACTTTCCCCCCCGGGGCCCGCGCGCCCGGCTCCCCGCGCCCCTCCGTGTGCTTCACGCATTTGCGCCCCGGCGCGCGGGGAGCGTTTACTGGTGACAGGGGCCTCAGGGCCGGCTGGCCTCTGGCCCTTGCTGTGCCCCTTTGCAGAGGGTGGTTCCCTCTTGCTTTCTGTGTGTCTCGCTCGTATTTTTTCTGACGAATTCCGAGCACCGCGTGCAGGCGAGAAGAGAGACCCGGGCGCAGCGGGCACCGCGGGCGGAGCAGGCAGGCCGCAGGGTGGCGGAGAGGCGGCGCTCCGGGGCTAGCGGGCAGCGTTTGCCGTTGCTATGGTTACCGCCGGCCCTGCTTTGTGCACGCGGCGGGCTGAGCACTGTCGCCCCCTCCGCAGGCCGCCGGCCGTGGCTCTCCTCCCGCCCATCCACCCCCAGTGCCGGCTAGTCTGGTGGTGGAGGGCCGGGGTGCTCCTGCTTCCTCAAGTCTTAGGAGGGCCCTGGGGCCCTGAGTCGGGGCTGGGGCCTGTGGGGATGCCCCCCCCGCCCCTTGTAGGGGGCTCTAAAGGTGTGAGCCCAGGGCATGCCAGCCCCTCCTCTCCCTGCCGACTGTGGTCGGTCTTACCCGGGCTCTGGGAGCCTCAGGGTTGCCTGCCCTTCCCCCAGCAGTGGGGGGCTTTTGTTCCCCAGGAGAGAAATTTCTGGAAGGATGGGGCTTGTGTTTCCCACTGGGGCAGCCAGTCCCCGCCTCCAGATCATCACTAGGCAGGAGCCCGCCCGTCTGCTCGCTGCGGGCCCCGTTTCTCCCTCCCCAGCGCTCAGTGGGGTCTGTGTTGTGTTCTCTGCGGCCCTGTAACAAATGACCACAAATTGAGCGCTTTGGTCACACCCGCCTCTCCGCTCACAGCTCTGCAGGCAGAAGGCTGGGGGCAGGGGCTCTGCTCAGGTCTCCCAAGGCCAAAGTCAAGTCGGACGGGCTGGCCTCTTCCCTGGGACTCCCTCCGAGGGACAGTGTGCTTCCGGCTCGTTCAGGGGCGCACAGAGTGGGTTTAGGCCGAAGGCCCCCGAGTCCTTGCTGGCTGTCAGCGGAGGTCCTCTCCCAGCTCCTCCTCACACGGTGTGTCCACCTCTAAAGCCAGAAACGGGATGCGGGAGTCTTCTCGAATTTCCACCCTCTCTCACTTTCCCTTCTGCCCCGCCCGCTCTCCGACTCACACGTCCAGTGTCCTGCTGGTGTCTTCACGCGAGCCTCACGTGTCGTCTGTTTATTTCCAGGTGTTCTTAGTGTCTTTGCACAGGCTCAGGAGCGGACTGTAGCTGGGCGCTCGGTCCTGCCCGCCTATCCGAGTCCACTTCTACCCGCAGAGTCGGGAGCCGAGCCCGCACTGACGGTAAGTTCTCAGCGGGAGAGCAGAGCTGGGGCACTACTGGCCCCTGGCCTCGAGTCCGAGTCCCCGGAGTCCCCGGGAACAGGCCACTCTCCCCAGGACGGCGACCCGGGGAGCAGCAGTGTTCCTGGAAGGAGCACTCCCTCTTCTGAGGCCCCTCTGTAGCTTAGGGCTGAAGGTGGAGCTCGTAGGATGGGGCGGCCTCCAGAGACGTGTCCCTAAATCAGCCCCACCCACCTGCTGACAGAGCGAATTTGGGTGATGTCACCGCATCCAGGGATCGTCTAGGATTTGGGTTAGGACGCCGTGCCGGGGGGCAGGGTCTAGAAGATGAACTAGGAGAGTCGGGGTCCCCTTGACTAAGGACGACCTTGACCACCGCTGTGGAGAGTTAGGGTGAGAGACAGAGAGAGAGAAACATCTATGTGAGCGAGACACATGGATTGGTTGCCTCCCACACGCACCCTGACCTGCAACCTGGGTACATGCCCTTGACTGGGAATCGAACCCACGACCTTCTAACCACTGAGCCATGCCAGCCAGCCAGGGCTGAAGCTGCTTTCTTAATCTAAGAGTATTTCATTTTTCCTTCTCATGTTAAAGATGAAAGCAAAGGAGCGTGAGAGAGGTGAGAGAGGTGTTCGGAGCCACCCAGCTCACGAGAGACAGAGCCGGCACCAGCCCCCAGGGCTCCTGTCCACAATGCACCCCTAAAACCCACCCCTTCGCACCTCCGCCCCTCAGGCCTTCTCCCGTTTCCTTCCTCTCCCCCAGGAGAAGGACTCTGATAGGAGGTCCTGGAGAGAAAGCCCAGTAAGATGGTATATATCTATTCTTCTGAAATACTTAAATCTTAAACAACGAACACACGTATTGTTTTAAAAAAATCGGAAATGCCACTATGTAAAAACAAACAGAATCCTACCAGGCAGGGGTGACCGCCGTTAACATTTTGTGTGTTTTCTACAGAAGTTGTTCTTTCTGTGTTTATAAAAACCCATCCCACCTGCTGAAGTTGATGTTTACAAACAGGAAACGCAGTAAAGCCTCTCCAGTTACTATATTTTACCCCCAAATTCCTGAGCTAGTTTCCCGGAGCTGCAGCAACAGAGTGCCAACAACTGCGTGGCTCCAATGCGGAAACCTCCCTCAGCGCCGCAGGCCAGAGGGTCCAAGATCGGAGTGTCGGCAGGGTTGGTTCCTTCGGAGGCCCGGAGGGAGGGGCAGCTCCAGGCTCCCCCCCTCTAGCTTCTGGAGGGTTATCGGCCAACTTTGTTGTTCTTTGGTTTCTGCTGCACCACCACGACCTCTGCCTCTGTCTTCCCGTGACAAGCTCCTTGTGCATGTCTCTGGGTCCAAATTCCCCTTTTTGTAAGGACACAGCCACGTTAGGTTAGGGTCCCCCACCCTCAGGGCCTCATTTGAACTTCCTCATCTGCAAAGACTCTATTTCTTTTTTGTTCACCCTCACCCGAGTATATTTTTTCCATTGATTTTTAAAGAGAGAGGGAGGGGACAGCGGGGGGTGGGGAGAGACATCGATGTGAGAGCGAGACATCGATCTGTTGCCTCCCACATGCTGCTCCTTAGGATCTGGGGTGTTTGGGGTTTGGCTAAAACTCCCAGGCACCTGGGAAAACTCCATCCGTCCGCCTGTTCCTCATCTGCGGGTCACATGCTTACGCACCTGCTTTTTCCAGTTTCTGTGTTGCTGGAAGGTCTGGCCATGCCAGATAGTTCTTCTACGATATTTTAAGTTGATCCTAGCTTGGCATGCTTCAACTGTATCATAATTTATTAACCAGTCTTTTATTTTTAAGAACTTAGGTAGTCTCTGATTTTTAAAAAAAACACCCTCAGGACTTTCCGTGAAGTTTCTGTAATCCTAGAGTTTCAGTGTCTCTGCAGACTCCCTGGATCAGACTGCAGTGGCCACTGCCCCCGTAGGAAATACCTAAGGCCAGCCTCGTGCCTGTTCAGGACAGATAGGTGTGGGGCCCAGTGGACGCTTCGGCCACAGTAGACTTGCTCCTGAACCTTCACGCTCCTGTTCCCGGGGAAAATGAGGAAGCAGGAGGGCTCAGGCGGAGGCGGCAGATCTTGTCCCGTATTTGGTAAGTGGCAGAGCCAGACCAGGACCGCTTCCTAAGCCAGGACAGTCCTCAGTACAGGTCACTGTGGACAACGGCAGCCTCGAGAGGAGAAGCGAACGACACGTAGCGGGGCCCAGGGACGGAGCCCAGTGCCGCAGGCGGTTCGCCCTCCGCGGGCCTTCGCGAGCCTCCGCTCAGCGGGCTGCACAGGCCCGTGTTGTGTTTTCCTGTCAATTTGCTCAGCACCAGGGCAGGACCGGTGACAGAGCTTCGGGTTCGAAGATTAGTAGGCTACTGATATTTTAAAAATAACTTTTCAGAAACGATCGTAATAGAAAACCTTAGAAAATTCACCTAAATACAAAGAAAAAAAACTTTGCATGGTCATTATCCAACTACCCAAAGCTAACGACTACGAGCCTCTGGTCTCCGGTCACTCCAGAGACCGTTTCGTATGAGCATGTGCGTGTGCATGTGCATGTGCACGTGTGTGTGCACGTGTGTGTGCACGTGCGCACGTGCGGGTGCTGGATCCCGTAGTGTTCAACTACTTCCATTGATCAGAATGCTATTAAATAGTTTTCTGTGATTTCACTTTTTTGCTGCAAAACGTTTATTTCCCTTTGGACGCAGTCTAGCCTCCTGCAGTTGGATATTTAGTTACTTCTGTTTTTTCAGAGTTTTACCAAATCTGTAATAAAGATCTTGGCCACTAAATCTTTGCCTGAGCACATGACTATTTCTTCAGAAAAACATTTCTATTACACTTTTGGGTAATGGTAGACAGAGGGTAGTAATTAATTACCGAGACATAGGGATATACTATACGGATATTCATTAACTAGGAAAACCCAAGTTTAAGTCTCCCAGTCACATTCCAAGGCCAGCGGTCCCTGGGACCAGCCTGCCCTCCCCCTGTGCCGGGGCCGTGGCAGCTGGTTCTGAGGCCCAGGGAGCCTGGCCTGACGTCCTTCCCCCCCACCCCCTCTCTGCCTCTGCAGGTGTCTGCTCTTCCCAGCCGGCAGGGGGGCGCCATGTGCCAGGTGAGTGTGGCCTTTCTTTATACTGGGCTTTGCTGAACCATGGATTTCAGGTTGCTTATAAAACAAAATGCAAACGGGGTTGGGGGTGGGGTTGAGGGTGGTCAATGGGGAAAAACGGGAACATCTGTAATACTTTCAAAAATAAAGATAAATTTTTAAAAATGCAAACCGAAATCTGGATGAGTGAAAATGCGGAGAGAATGGAGAGCCAAGGCGGTGGGAAGGGCGGGCGGATGCCGTACAGGGCCGCTGGCGTCATGAGCTGCCCTGTACAGTTACGCCTGGCATTCCTGGCACTTAAAAAAGTCAGATTCCATCCAACATATGACTTGTGAGGTCTGTCTGGGGCGAGCATGTCACCATCTCTGGGGAAATCAAGCTTTTTGGGGAACTTAGAAATGTATGTGATGGGTCTTCGCCCGTGCGATCTAGCAGGTGGGTCCTCGACCATGACATTGAAACGAGCCCCACAGCAAGTCTCTGCGACCTTTCTCTTCAGTGTGAACAGCGGACCTTACCGCAGCGCAGAAACCTGTGGCCCCAGTTAGGGGATTAGCACCCGGGTCTACGTGGAGAGCCCGGTGTGGCTCGGGCTGACCTTGAGAAAACACTGCGGCGTCGGGAGGAACGGATGGACAGCATGCTCTTCAGATGATTTTCCAGTGACTTTTGAGAGAGCAAACAGCTCCCGATCTCAGCCCTCGGCCGGGCGGGAGGGAAGGTGGCCCAGCCGTCCCGGCCTTTTCTCTCACGTCTGAGGCGGCGCCTCCGTCTCCATTTTCGGGACTTAGACTCACACATCTGCCCTCGGCCTCCTCGGAGCCCTTTCTCACTCAGTCGCCATCCCTTCTCTTCAGACTCACTGGCATTGTCTTCCATCAGCCCGTCTGCATCCTCACATTTCTCTGTTCCCAAAGGCCCTCTCTGTCCCCGGGCTCTAGGGATGGTCACTGCTCAGAGTCCTTGAGATCACGAGCCAGAAACCCAGCTAGAACCAACCGCTTTAGGTCAAAGGCAGAATCTAGGCAGCCCGCGCACTGTGGGACTCAGAGACGGTGACATCCAGGAGCCCAGGGGTCGCCAGGAGTCTCATGTCCCTTGTCCCTATTTCTGTTACTTCCTTCTGTCATACTGACTTCATCCATGTGGCCAGAAATAGGACGTCCATTAGGTGCTGTGCACACCTCACATACACGAATCCTGCACAGAAAGGGACCGGTCTGCTTTTATAGAGTCCGTTTGCAGGGCCCTTGAGAAAGATCTGGACGGGTCCAGCTGAGTCCAGGTTGGGGCTGAGGTGCTGGGTCTGCCACGTGCTTGGGGGGGGTGCGGGGGGGAGAATGTTAGTCCCCGAGGAAGACAAGGCCTCGCAGACACACGTTGAGAGCTGTCCACTGCAGGGAGAAGAGCAGTCACAGGGCCCTAGCTTGGGACCCGTCTTGATCTCGATGGGAGTGTGTGCGCTTAGTCAGGCTGGGACTATCTGATGTTTGCTACCAGAGATGGGGTGTGTGTGTGTGGAGGGGGGGGACCAGGCCAGCATGAGAGGTTGAAAATTAGGTGCTAACTCCACAGCCTTCTCTAAAGAGGTGACTGGAACATGAGGCTGTTGGGCCTGTACACGAAGCCAGAGGTTTTACTTGGTGTCTTTTTGGGGAAGCTATTGCTTTGTGGGAAACCCGGCCTCATTGGGAACCTCCCTCTGTGAGGGCCGTCTGCAGTAAAGATAATGGCAGTGAAAGTCACAGGACTCCATCTGTTGAGCACGTATGTGCCAGACTGTTTTTCTCTATTATTTCATGAATAATCCTGGGAGGTAGATACTAATTCTTCCCATTTTCAAGATGAGCAAACAGAGGTTAGAGATATTAAGCAAATTGCCGAAGATCGCACAAATAGGTGATGGGCTAGGATCTGAATACAGACAGACACACACAGAACTGGGCTCTTACCGACCGAGCTGAACGGTGGTTTTATTGACCAATACCACATCCCCAGCCAAGCAATCCACCCAGGCATGGGCCCCAAAGGCTGCCCTGCCTGCCTGTGGCCCAGCAGCCCAGCCCGCCTGCCTGCAGGCCCCCTGTGGGCCATGGCAGTCGTCTGCCCACAGACCCCACCAACCACCCCTCCCAGGATCTCTCACCAGGATGACTGGTGAAGGTGCCAAAACCAGCTGGTAAAGGCTGGTGGAGGTGACCGTTCCTTCAGATGCCGGTGCCAATGCAGGGCTACACGGATCAGGAAAAACCAAGTAAACATAACGCCGCCAAAGGCACTGAATAAAGGTCCAGTAACGGACCCCAAGGACACGGATCCAAGAACTACTGCCTCTCGGCAGGAACATCCTCCCAGCGTCAGGACTCGCTGTTCATTCTCCGTGCCGGCTCAGACACGGCCCCCAGGGGAGCTTGGCCTGACAGCGAGACACTGCATTTGACTGCGGTCATCTCTGCGTCACGGCCTTCGGCGGACTCTTACCGTACAGGAGTCTCTTCCGTCCATCTCACTCCACCAGACTATAAACCCCGTTAGGGCAGGAGCAGTGCTGCGTCCAGCTTTGGAGCAGAATGCCAGCCACATACCAGGTCCTCAATAGATGCTTGCCCACTGAGTGAACGAGCGACTGAATGGAGATCCAGAAGCGAGATCTTTTCTAATCATTTTTCTCTCTCCACAAAATAGACAGTGTCAGGGGCAAGCTAAGTTCCTGTATAACTCCCGGGGAAACCTGAGTGCGAAGGTGGGGAGGCCCCTCTCCCCTCCACCTCTGCCCTAGTAGCCCGGGCGGAGTGCACCAGGTTAATCAGGGATGTGCCGTTCCAGGCGTCGCTGTCATTCAGAGATGTGGCCGTGGGCTTCACCCAGAAGGAGTGGCAACAGCTGGACCCTGTGCAGAGGACCCTGTACCGGGACGTGATGCTGGAGAACTACAGTCACCTGGTCTCAGTGGGTGAGGAAGGCGCCCGTGCTCCCCAGCTATGCCTCAGCTCCTTCCTTTCCTCGGTTATGTAAAACCTCCTGAGCTCTAAAAGCGTTTGGCCTCGGGTTTCTGTCGTCAAAGAGCCTTGCTCTCATCTCACCCAGGTTATTTGTGAATCTACCTCCCCAGTGAAATATCTGTTCTTTGGCCGAGATGTAAATGTCCGTTGTGCGACCTGAACCTCCCGCTTCCTTCGATGGCTCAGCATAACTCGGGTCACTGTTTTTTACAAACAGGGTGTCAAGCCACCAAACCAGCTGTGATCTCCAGGCTGGAGCTGGGGCAAGAGCCATGGATGGAGGAAGAAGAAATCCAAGAGTGGAGCCTTCCAGGTAAGAGAACCAGCTTGCAGGGGGACCGCGGGCATACGGTTCCAGAAGGTCACAAAGCAGAACCTTGGGTTTTTCATGCTTCAGGCGACTGTTCTGTAGAAGCCTTAGGTCTTTGCAAGCAGCTGTGGCATCTGGCCCAGGAACGTGGGATGCCCGAATGTTTCCTGTGTGTGTTTTCAGCGTCCCAATGTGCTGTGTCAGGCTTGTTAACAGCAAGGCTCCCATTAGTCGTTGTCAACGTTTTATCCCTATTTCCAGTATCTAATTTTTCTTCCATTCAAAAGCCCGGAACTTGGAGGTGTTTGTAATAGGATTAGTATTATTTACTCTGGGCAACTAGATTTGAAACCATGAGGTTAGCCCTCTTTGCAAACACGTCTCAAGTAATTTAGTTCTAATGTGATCCTGGAAAGATTGTAACAGTTGTGTCATGTTTTTTTTTCTCCTAGAAGTTTTGCAAGTTGATACTCAAGCAGGTGGACAACAGGAACCTGGAGACAAACCTTTGAGGCAAGTGGTGTTCCTACACAAGAAAAAATTGACCAAAAAAGGGCCCCACAAAGGAAATTCAATTAAAAAAGAAGCCCCTCGGAACACGAGCCTCGTTCCTTCAAGACCACGGGCCCGCGAATGTGCCTCCTGTGGGCCGAGCCCGCAGCGCGAGGCCGCCGGCCGCCCTAACACGTACCTGGCCAGACGGCGGTTTGAGTGCGACGTGCGGGGGAACCTGGTTCTCTACCCTAAGCTCGAAGCGCCACCGCCCGGGGCACAGCCGCATGGGTGTAACCGGTGTCGCCAAGCGTTCAGCCGCCGCCGGGCCCTTCCTGCCCGCCAGGGAACCCGCGGCGGTGGGAGAGCCCACGAGTGCGCCAAATGCGGGGCAGGCTTTTCCCACTAATCAGCGCTCACGGCATATCCGAGCATCCGCAGAGCACGAAATCCAAACGGGATGGCTCCAGGGAGAAGGTCCGCCTCCACAAATGTAGGGAAAATCCCACGGAAGAGAAACCCGGTGGGAACAGCAATTGCGCTCAAATATTCCCCCAGAAGACCGGCCTGTCTGTGCCTGAGACAGTTCCCGGTGAAGAGAAGCCTCAGAAGTGTTCAGATGTGAGAAAACATTCTCCCACAAGTCATATCTCATCAAACACTACAGTCTCGCATGGGAGACAAACCCTACAGCTGCGAAGAATGTGGGAGTCTTTCTCCCGGGAGCCATGCCTCACCATCCATTCTAGAGCCCACACAGGAGAAGCCCTCTGGGTGCAGCGAGCGTCAGAAAGCCACCTTCTAGAAGTCACACCTGGTCCTGCACCAGAGGACTCGCCCGGGAGAGGAGCCCTATGAGTGTGGCGAGCGTGGGAAAGCTTTCTCCTAGAGCTCACGTCTTATCTTACACAAGAGAACTCGCGTGGGAAAGCAGCCCTGTGAATCCTCCGACTGTGGGAAAACCTCCTCTCAGAGGGCAAACCCCATCAGACTTCACAGAACCCACACTGGGGAGAAACTGTGTGGGTGACGTGAGAGGGTGCTTATTATGAAGTCCCGACACGTCTGGGNAGTCCCGACACGTCTGGCAATGAACATCCTGGATGTGGGAAATCCTTCAGCAAGAAGTGCAGTGTCACTGTGTGCAGAGATTCATCCCGAGGTGATAGTTACCAAGTAGAGAATTAGGAAAAGTCTGCTTTCTTAAAACTAATGCTAGAATGGTAATGGTTCTCTAGAGAGAGGTGTTTTTCTAGAATAGACTTAATTATAAAGTGTATCTGTAGTTATACTAACTGTGAATATCGAGTTTTGACGTATGTGAATAAATCAGACCATTAAGCAACAGTTCTACTAGGTATCGGGACAATCCCAATGCTATATAAGGGTTATGTGCCTGCGGATCTATTTAAAAAGAATTTTATTCATTTTTGAACTGCATTGGTAATGGAACATAACTGTGATCTTGTAGACATATACACCATAATGTGTAAAATGACATCTATCAAGAATTTCCACACTAAATTGTACCCTTTTGTCTTTGTAATATATATAACTGGAACAACATGGATTTATTATTAAACCAGACGGCCACACACTGTACCACATACCATTTTTGTTAAACCAACAATTTCATGACATCTCCTGATATCTCTCAATCAACTGGCTTAGNCACACTGTACCACATACCATTTTTGTTAAACCAACAATTTCATGACATCTCCTGATATCTCTCAACTGGCTTATNTATTAAACCAGACGGCCACACACTGTACCACATACCATTTTTGTTAAACCAACAATTTCATGACATCTCCTGATATCTCTCAATCAACTGGCTTAGATGTTTCGTTTGTATTAAATGTGTAAGCTTAGGACCCCCTTCTCTGGCAACATGGTAGGCTGCCCAAGTGAAGACCGTTTGACGGTAGACAGGTGGAAACGATGAAGGGTAACAGGGAACAGTCTCTCCCACGCCTAACTGAGCTCGCAAGGAAAGAAGTGAAGCTCCAGGTGCCAGCTGGGCGGAGGGAACTGACAGCCAGTGCTGAGTTAGTGAGTTGATGGTGCAGCTGCCCTGTGGGTTTAATTTTGTTTATCCAACAACTTGGGTGTTAAAGACTTTAGGGGAATGAGAGACACGGCCTTGGGCACACAGGGCAGAGAACTGGCACTGAAATACATTCAGAAATGTCCAAAATCTATGCATCTGGGGAGAGGGCAGACTGGAGAAAAACCTGCTCCTTTGCACAGGAACGTTGTCTGTCTCTTCCTGGGTTCTGGGTGCGAAAGAGTCATTACCCTGGTGATTCGTAAGCCTTGACCTGCACATCCTATGAGTTAGAATCTTGAATTCCTGTCCCAGTTGAAAAACTGAACAACTGACATAGAAATCTGTCCTGATTTTTGAAAAACAACTTACAGAAGCAAACAAAATATTTCTGGAGGAAGACACCCTTAACCCATGCTTGTCAGAATTCTGACGTATAAACCCGAAATGAATTCACGATGCAAAATTACACAACGCGAGGAATCAGTCCACCAGGAAGGTCAACAGACGTTTAAATGAAATAAGAAACCCAAGTATTTTAGGTGATAGAAAAACCAGATATTCTATGAAAACAACTATCTTTAAAAAGGATTAATAACAAAAACTGAAGCCCTGGACAGTTTTGCTCAGTGGTTAGTGCATCGGGCCATGGACTGAAGGGCCCCGGGTTCGATTCTAGCCAAGGGCACGCACCTCAGCTGCAGGCTTGATCCATGGCCCCAGTCAGGGGGAGGCAATCAATGGATGTGTCTGTCTGTCTGTCTCTCTCCCCCCACCCCACTCTCTCCGAACATCCTCCCAAGAGGATTTTAAAAAAACAATTAAAAAAACAACCACCCCAAACTGAAAACCATATGAAAGCAAGGCCGAAAGGAAAGGTAACTGGTTTGTTTGGGAAAGAAAGGCACAGAGCATATAGAAATGGAAAACACAGCCACTGACATTTAAAACTCAACATTAAAAGACTCAACGACCGTGTCCCAACGGTAGATTAGACTCAGCTGAAGAGAAAGCAGAGGGAGGCAGAGCTCAGCAATTCGGTGCAGAGAAAGGGAACCAGGAATGGATGGGCCGGAGGCACAGGGCTGCGGTCAGAGCCAACCGGGGAAAACAGACAAGGCACAGAACCCGGGAGAAAAATAACTGTCCAGAGACAGTGGCTCAGACCCGACAGAAGACAGGACTTAGATCCAGGCGGCACCGTGTGTGCCTCGCTGGGTAAATTATAAATTCTCGCCTGAGCGTTCGTCTGTGCACAGTGTAGATAAGTTACTCGGTGGGTTTGCTGCCTGGGATCTACAGTCTAGCCTGGGGTCTGCAGGGCCTTGAAGGACACTTGTCCCCGCAGGCACAAGCGAGTNCAACTTACAGAAGCAAACAAAATATTTCTGGAGGAAGACACCCTTAACCCATGCTTGTCAGAATTCTGACGTATAAACCCGAAATGAATTCACGATGCAAAATTACAGAACGCGAGGAATCAGTCCACCAGGAAGGTCAACAGACGTTTAAATGAAATAAGAAACCCAAGTATTTTAGGTGATAGAAAAACCAGATATTCTATGAAAACAACTATCTTTAAAAAGGATTAATAACAAAAACTGAAGCCCTGGACAGTTTTGCTCAGTGGTTAGTGCATCGGGCCATGGACTGAAGGGCCCCGGGTTCGATTCTAGCCAAGGGCACGCACCTCAGCTGCAGGCTTGATCCATGGCCCCAGTCAGGGGGAGGCAATCAATGGATGTGTCTGTCTGTCTGTCTCTCTCCCCCCACCCCACTCTCTCCGAACATCCTCCCAAGAGGATTTTAAAAAAACAATTAAAAAAACAACCACCCCAAACTGAAAACCATATGAAAGCAAGGCCGAAAGGAAAGGTAACTGGTTTGTTTGGGAAAGAAAGGCACAGAGCATATAGAAATGGAAAACACAGCCACTGACATTTAAAACTCAACATTAAAAGACTCAACGACCGTGTCCCAACGGTAGATTAGACTCAGCTGAAGAGAAAGCAGAGGGAGGCAGAGCTCAGCAATTCGGTGCAGAGAAAGGGAACCAGGAATGGATGGGCCGGAGGCACAGGGCTGCGGTCAGAGCCAACCGGGGAAAACAGACAAGGCACAGAACCCGGGAGAAAAATAACTGTCCAGAGACAGTGGCTCAGACCCGACAGAAGACAGGACTTAGATCCAGGCGGCACCGTGTGTGCCTCGCTGGGTAAATTATAAATTCTCGCCTGAGCGTTCATCTGTGCACAGTGTAGATAAGTTACTCGGTGGGTTTGCTGCCTGGGATCTACAGTCTAGCCTGGGGTCTGCAGGGCCTTGAAGGACACTTGTCCCCGCAGGCACAAGCGAGTGGAAGGCCCTGTCACGGCCCCAGCAGCCCTTGTGGTCAACAGCCTCCCCCG